GACTGTTGTTGACTTGTCATCATCATCATCATCATCGATGATAATTAAATTAACTTGATTGCAGTGATTTGTGTGCGGCAACAACAACAACAACAACAAAGCCAAAGAAATGTTGTAAGAAGTGCCTGAAGGTGTTCGATTGTTCGTTCGAACATTTTTCTGTTGTTAAGCGGCAGTCTGAACTTAAGTTGCCAATGATGTTGTTACGTTAACTTCTGATTAATGTTTAAAATGTGCGACTGTCAATAATTGATGGACAGACAACTAACTGACAGTCACCATTGCCAGATGGCAGAAAATGTCTTTAACAGTTGCCGCTGCTGCTGTTGTCGTTGTCGTTGATCACACATCGATAAATAATATTTATTTAAACATTTTGTCGGCATGCATTAACGAGGAATGTTTGTCTGGCTGTGTTTCGTTGTGTCAGAGTACGTGTGTGTGTGTGTGTTTGTGACCATTTCCATTACGATTTTTATTCCCCAGCTACACGTGAGTGAGGGTGCATTAAAAATAATGCATTTAATTTGTTAAATAAATATTTAATTACATCTACAGTGCATGTCGGCGTTATTATTACCGCCAAACATTGCACAGTCTGCTGTAATTTGCATAATTGGTGTAGTGAGTGACGGGGGATGGAGGGCTAAATTTGGCAAACGAAACAGAATTCGCGTGGGACTATAGCTTTTTGGCATGCTTGTACGAAAACAAAGTTTAGTTATTTTATTAATGTTGTTGTAATCTCTTCTTAGCATGCAATGGCCAACTAAACTGTTGATGTATTTATTTGCGTAGGCTGACTGGCTGGCTGGCTGGCTATCGGAACTGGGGAAATTTGTTAGCAAAAATTTATTGAAATGAAAGTAACTGGTTTACCATAAAATTTTGATTTGAGAAAAATAAAAAGTACCCATATGGGTTGTGTTGACTCATCTTCAGGGAATGTGGATTCCCCAAAACTGGTTGGGTTTGCGCACTCAATAAAAAATACTTTGTGCGTGGAATTAAATGGCACATCTTCTAGTTGGGGGGATTTTTTTTCATTGAGATGAGATATTTTGTGGTTAAGGAATATTTTTATTGAGAAATATAAGTCTAAACAAAAAAGTTAATTGTATCAAGTGGAGGGGATTCCGTTAGCTAACGCTTTTTTATACCATCCACCATAGTATGGAGGGTATATTAAGTTTGTCATTCCGTTTGTAACAACTCGAAATATACATATTAGACCCCACAAAGTATATATATTCTTGATCAGCATAAAATCCTGTTAGATATGTCCGTCCGTCTGTGGAAATCACTCTAGCTTCCGAACGAAATGAAGTAGGTTAATAGAACTTTACTCAAATTAAAATGGGTCATGTAGGTATAGCCCCCATATAATGGTAACTTCTTTTTTCAGTATTTTGGTTATTTAAGCGACATTATTCACCGGAATTGTTTCATTTTCGGTGTTTGAAGTTCGTAATGAATACTACAGTCTAAGACAAAAAATTTTTCTGTACAGGTCCACGTCTTCGTACAGCCCCAATATAACGGTACCTCACCATATTTGGTATTTTGATGATTTTGATCCATTATTCACCGATTTTTATACCCTCCACCAAGAAAGGTATGGAGGGTATATTAAGTTCGTCATTCCGTTTGTAACTCATCGAAATAATCATTTTAGACCCAACAAAGTATATATATTCTTAATCAGCGTAAAATTCTAAGACGATTTAGCCCTGTCCGTCCGTCTGTCCGTCTGTTGTAATCACGCTACAGTCTAAACGAATTAAGATAGAAAGCTAAAACTTTGCACAGATCTCTCTTTTGTCTGCAGGCAGGTCAAGTTCGAAGATGGCCTATATCGGTCCACAATATCGTACAGCCCCCATATAACGGTACCCCCCGATATTCGGTATTTTGATGATTTTACCCACATTTTTCAACGGAATTGTCTGAAAATCCACACAAGGAGTTCCTTGTGGGTACTTTATACCAAGGCATCTATATATACGTCCACAATATCGTATAGCCCCCATGTAACGGTACCCCCAATATTCGGTATTTTGATGATTTTACCCACATTTTTCAACGGAATTGTCTGAAAATCCACACAAGGAGTTCCTTGTGGATACTTTATACCTCGGCAGAGAATTGTCCATACAGGTCCACGATATCGTATAGCCCCCATGTAACGGTACCCCACGGTATTCGGTATTTTGATGATTTTACCCACATTTTTCAATGGAGATGTCTGAAATTCCACAAAAAGGAGTCCCTTGGGGGCACTTTACCTCCTCAAAAGGAATTGTCTATTTAGGTCCACGATATCGTATAGCCCCCATGTAACGGTACCTCCGATATTCGGTATTTTGATGATTTTACCCACATTTTTCAACGGAATTGTCTGAAAATCCACACAAGGAGTTCCTTGTGGGTACTTTATACCTGGGCAGAGAATCATCTATATAGGTCCACAATATCGTATAGCCCCCATATAACGGTACTCCCCTATATTCGGTATTTTGATGATTTTAGCCACTTTTTCCAATGGAATTATCTGAAAATCCATACAAGGAGTTCCTTGTGAGTACTTTACACGCAGACATGGATTTGTCTTTATAGGTCCACAATATCGTATATCCCCCCATATATCGGCACCTTCCTATATTAGATATTTTAAAGATTTTAAAAGAATTTTTATTGGATTTAATTTTTTTGAAAATTTTCTAATTCGTTCCAAATGGTGGAGGGTATTCAAAGTTCGGCCCGGCCGAACTTACTGCTTTTTTACTTGTTTTTTTTTTAAGTTTCGCATTTGAATATTGTAATGGCTTATGACAAACGTTACTATGCAGGTCCACTAATATAACGACTACATTCGGTATTTTTAAGATTTTAACAAAATTTTTAACAGAGGATCATAAAATCAACATCAAATTCGGAGTTGGACAATATCGGTCCAGTATTTCTGGTACACTCACGAAAAAAGTAAACAATTTTTGCAGAAAAAAATCTCATATATTGTGTGAAGAGAATATCCGGATATGGTTCACACTTGGCATTTAGTAGCATTAATGTCAGACTTGGTTAAGGTGTAAAAATTCTTACACGTCTCACATAAAGGGTCAAAATTGAGTTTTTTGGTAACTTTGTAGTACGTCTATGGGAAAAAAAGGGAAAAAAATGAAAAAAAGAGTTTTACATTTTTATACCCTCCACCATTGTATGGAGGGTATATTAAGTTTGTCATTCCGCTGTGGAAATCACTCTAGCTTCCGAATGAATTGAAGTAGATTGATAAAGTTTTACTCAAATGTATAGTATGTCTGCAGGACTTTTGGTATTGAAAATGGGCCATGTAGGTCCACGTCCTCGTATAGGCCTCATGACCTCTCGATATTCGCTATTTTGATGATTTTTGCGACAATATTAACCGGCATTGTTTCAAATTTGGTATTTGAAGTTCGTAATGGAAACTACAGCCTATGACAAAAAATTGTCTATGCAGGTTTACGTCTTCGTATAGCCCTCATATAACGGTACCCCCGATATTCGATATTTTGATGATTTTAGCGACATTTTTCACCGGAATTGTTTCATATTTGGTATTTGAAGTTCGAAATAGATACTTCAGCCTAAGATATAAAATTGCCTGTGCAGGACCACGTCTTCGTATAGCCCTCATATAACGGTACCCCCCGGTATTCGGTATTTTGATGATTTTAGCGACATTATTCAGCGGAATTGTTTCAAATTCGGTATTTGAAGTTCGTAATGGATACTACAGCCAAAGACAGAAACTTGTCTGTGCAGGTCCACGTCTTCCATATAACGGTAACTCCCGATATTTGATGATATTCACCGATTTTTTGTTTGTTAAGTTTCGCATTTGAATATTGTAATGATTTATGACAAAAGTTACCTATGCAGGTCCATGTCGTCGTATAGATCCTAATGTAACAGCCACATTTGGAATATTTAAGATTTTAACAGAATTTTTAATGGATTTCATTGCTTTTTGATAATTGCGAAATTCGTTTCAAATGGTGGAGGGCACTCAAAGTTCGGCCCGCACGAATTATGGCCTTCAACCGGCCAATGAAACCGTCACACGCTGCCCGAATGTTGCTCTGTGGAATTTTGGCTCATTGCCGGCGAAGCGCTTGCTAGAGGTGATCGACACATTGGTATTTTAGTGCCACCTTTGATTTCCAAAATACTCCGTCAACAATAGTCCAACGGATTGGTATCCGGAGATTTTGGTGCCCATTGTGCGCTGGAAATGAAGAGAGGAACCTCATTTTCTAATCATTCTTGGCTGGCGTGTGCTGAATGCGATGATGATGTTAATGAAAGCTCTACTAAATACATTGTACGCTGCTGGAATGTGGTCAATTGCCAAATGGGGAGCCCATCATTAATGCTTATCAAAAAACCTGTCCAGACTTGCCCAAAAGTTGTCCACCCGAACTGATTTATGTGGAAAATTGTTGTCAATATTGTAGGCAAAGGAGGCAGTCGCCACCACTGCCCTTCGTTGAAATTGGTGTGGTGTATACATTTGAGTTAAATTTTATTGACCTACTTCATTTCATTCGGAAGCTAGAGTGATTTCCACAGACGGATAGACGGACGGACATCGCTAAATCGACATCGAATTTCATGCTGATCAAAAATATATATAGTTTTTGGAGTCTGCAATATATACTTCGAGGTGTTACAAACGGAGGTGGTGGAGGGTGTAAAACGCGCGAAAGGCACTCATTTGGTATCTCGTTTATATTTCGACCAATAATAATCCTCGTATTGTTATCCGAAAGCTAAGATGCAAATATTCCAATGAACTTTAATCCAAAATTTCAAAAAATGTGTTCCGCCTCTATTTAGGTCACTTTGTTATATTAACTTCAAAAGGTCTTATATTTTTGACTCTAATTTCATAATCTACTGGGGTTTTCCTGTAATTATTATTTATGTCACTAACTATTTTTAATTTTATTTTTTAGCTATCATAAGCAATAATCTGTGCTCCGTTACCATTGATGCCGAAACGGAATTTAAAACTCTAGGGTCCATATGGATTTCCCCCCAAAATCCTTGCTCCCTGTACAAATGTGAGCTTAACAAACTGGGAATACCTCATGTGGTGGCCAAAAAGGACAATTGTGGAGAATTTTATTGTGATATAGTGAGTAGAAACGGAAAAGACACTCAAATTTCAAAATTGACTTCAATATTTTCCATTTTCAGGATTCCGAGGTGAGACCAAAGAACGGCAGCTGCTGTGGTGAATGTGTGCGGACGAAATGTCGTTTCGAAAATCAGCTGTACGAAATTGGCAGCACCTGGCATAACAATGCAGATTGTACGCTGCTGGAATGTGGTCAATTGCCAAATGGGGAGCCCATCATTAATGCCTATCAAAAAACCTGTCCAGACTTGCCCAAAAATTGTCCACCCGAACTGATTTATGTGGAAAATTGTTGTCAATATTGTAGGCAAAGGAGGCAGTCGCCACCACTGCCCTTCGTTGAAGTTGGTGTGGACAATGAGGAGATATGGACCGAGGAGTTCTATGACAATCATCCATGTGTCAGGGAGTGTAGGGCGGGAGAGGCGCCACGTGTCTGCCACTATACCTTTGTGGTGGAATGGTATGAAACTTTGTCGAAGGCATGCTATGATTGCCCGAAGAATATTAGCGATTGTCGGCGACCTCATTGTATAGCGGGAGATGGTATTACACGCTCAGTGACAGTGGTAAATCGTATGATGCCCGGCCCTAGGATAGAGGTGTGCTACAACGATACCATTGTGGTGGATGTCAAGAATCATTTACTGGGTGAAAGTACCACCATCCATTGGCATGGTATGCATATGAAAAATACACCCTATATGGATGGGGTACCCCACGTTACCCAGTGTCCAATTTCCCCACATTCCACATTTCGCTACACCTTTTTCGCCGATAATGTTGGCACCCACTTTTGGCATTCGCATACGGGTATGCAACGGGGAGATGGAGTCTTTGGAGCTTTGATCATAAAACGGCCACGTAGTGAAGATCCCCATGGACATTTGTTTGACTTCGATTTGAGTGAACATACCATGATTGTTCAGGATTGGGTCCATGTACCGGGTGTTAGTATGTTTGCTTCCCATCATCATTCGAATGGGGATAATAAGCCATTGAATTTGTTAATAAATGGCAAGGGAAGATACTACAAGGCCATATGGGAATCCATAAAGGCCAAAGGTCGATCTGCTAGTGTGGGGGATGACCACATCTCCAATGAGGGTGAAGTGAGATCTTCTGCCATAACAATTACCGAATCTGCGTTGGAAGTCAATGAAACAGAGTACAATCCCAATACCCCACTGGAGGATAATGATGTGGTCCTATTACACCCCTCAAATGATCCCAGGGTAAATAAATTAAGGATACAACAAAATGAAATATCCAGGACCGCTCGATTGGCCAAGTCGGAAAATGAGACCAGACGAGCCGTCAGAGAACAGGAAGAAGAAGAGGAAGAGGTCACAAATACAACGGAACCGGAGAAAATTAGGCATCTCTCCAAACGGGCTTTGGATGGAGAAATTCCCTTGGATTTCATACCCCTGCAGCAGTACAATGTCACAAAAGGTTTTCGTTATCGTTTTCGGGTCATAAATGCCGAATTCCTCAACTGTCCCATACAAATCTCGATCGACAACCACACTCTCATGGCCATTAGTTCGGATGGCTATGACTTTGAGCCCCTGGAGGTGGGATCCGTAATAACCTATGCCGGTGAACGTTTCGATTTCATTGTCAATGCCAATCAGGCGGTGGGTAATTATTGGATACGTCTCAAGGGGTTGATGGATTGTGATGAACGCTTCACCTCGGCGTTCCAGGTGGGCATACTACATTATGACCAGGCCCCCATGGAGGAGCCTCAGGCTGACTTGGGTTACAATCACCAGCCGGAGGGCATAGAACTCAATGCCATGAACAAGGGATCCGGTCACATAGACTCTCTCACCATGGCCGAAGTGAATGGCCTGCCAATCTATGATCAAATTTCCGGTATAGATCGTGACGCGTTAAAACCAGTGGCCGATTATAAATTCTTTGTTTACTACGATTTCTATCGCAAGGATAACCCGGAATTCCATCCTCAACAGTATTATGGCATGGGTGCCAATCTGAGTAACTCCAATTTGGTATTTACTCCGCAACTAAATCACATTTCATTGAAGTTCCCCTCGGTGGCTTTACTGGCTGCCCGGGATAGTGTCGACGAATCGTTATTCTGCAATGAAACCAGTTTGCAGGAGCAGGGCATCGATTGCCGCAAGGAGTTCTGTAAATGTCATCATGTCCTGCAGGTGCCGAGAAATGCTATTGTTGAATTTATTATCATCGATGAGGGTGTCACCTATGATGCCAATCATCCCTTCCATCTGCATGGCAATGCATTCCGTGTTGTCGGCATGGAACGTCTGGCAGCCAATGTCACTGTGGAAATGGTGAGTAATGAGAAATCAATGTTCTTCCTGCCTATGAAGACTTGTCATAAGAGTGTTATTTGTTATTATATTATATTTCCTCTCTCTCTCTCTCTCCCTCTCTCTTTCTCTTGTTAATTTCAGATCAAAGAACTGGATCGTTTCAATCTACTAAAACGAAACCTGGTACGCCCACCCGTGAAGGACACCGTTACCGTGCCCGATGGTGGCTATACCATTGTACGTTTTGAAGCTTCTAATCCTGGTTTTTGGCTTTTCCATTGCCACATAGAATTTCATGCTGAAATTGGTATGGCATTAATATTGAAGGTCGGAGATAATGATGAAATGCCCCCAGTGCCCAAGAGATTCCCCACTTGCCATGATTATGTGCCACAATCCAAAGATGATGAAGAAGATATTGATGATACACTGACAAATAAACCTAGCACACCTGAGTATAGTGGTGGTGGTGCAGGGAATGCAGGAAGTCTAAGGCGGGTTTCCTGGCATACCATTGCTGTTTTTGTTTTTGTTGTTATTGCAATGCTTCGAAAATAGTTTGTACATATGTGAACGCTAAGGATAATCTAAGTAAAACTGTGATTTTTTAAGATAGTTTTTTAAGAAATGTTTTTGTATTAAATAAATTTATTTATGTTATATGTTTTTGGTCAGATCCGAAATTTATTATATTTGATTTTTTTAGCTTACTGACCTCTGTAAGTTTTGCAAATAAAAGATTTGTTTTATTGAATTTTTCCCAACGTTTCGTCACTTTTTTGGTGACTTCTTCAGGGGATTTCGTCTATTTGAATAAAATAAATGTAAAAGTTAACAATATGGTCCAAATTACAACAATTGTAAACATATTCTTTACTTACACTAATATTCAAGACGTGCTTACAAAGATTTTATATTAAAATAACATAAAAAGACAATAAACAACGACTTAAATCTAGTATCACAGGTATGTTTACGTTATTGCCACTCCATAGCTTGCACTAATATTGTCGGTGTCTTCTTTTAAGTTCATCGTTACGTCAATTTGTTGTTGTATTCTCAGACTTTCAATCAGCAATCTCTTTTTCTCATTTTTCTCTTTGTCTAATATTATTGTTTTGTCAAAATCAGGTGAGTGGCCTGTGTGTATCATATGTTGTGCTAGTGCCGTCGTTTCTTTCCCTTTCTGTATATCTTGTTTATGTTCTCCCATTCGTATATTTAGCGCTCTTTTTGTTGTTCCTATGTATATTTTGTTGCATTTTTCGTTTTCTTTGCCATTGCATGATATTTGATAAACAACATTGCTTTGTTGCTGTTTGTCGATTGGTGTTTTTGTGTTTGTGAATATGGAGCTTAGCGTTGTGTTTGGCTTGTAAGCAAAGTTTATATTTTTGTTCTTTATTATCCTCCGTAATTGTTATGTATTAATTTCGTCATTAAAAATAAATAAAAACAAGTAAGCAAAGGCTACAGTCGAGCGGGGCCGACCGTTGAATACCCTACAACACTATAATAAACGATACAGTTTATATAGGCGAGATACTCGAAAGAATTCCACAAGATATTGTGACAAATAATAAAAGAAAACCATCAGGTTTCGTTCTCTAATTTTCGAATAATAGCAACTTAAACGAATTTAAATGTTCTTCCTAGATCTGGAACCAATATTTCCCAAAGACCTATAATCTCTCAGAAGTGGCAAAAGATTAACATTTATTATTGGTTTTTGACTGAAACGCATCTATCGGCGAAATCGAAAATCGGCGTTAACGAAATAGTCAGAAGTGCGTCTTTCCAGTATTTGTGAATTCTCCAAAAAGTCACTGGAATGGACATTTTCTTATTTTGTATACAAAAGTTGGCAAACTATTTCACACATTGAATATTTTTGGATGGCCATTAGAAACTGCTTGGCTTTTGCAATGTGCGGTAACTCCCATTCAAATGTGCATGAGGATCGGGCGATAATTACGACCTGCTGACAATTTTGCAGTTTTGTTGGTCCATTTCAACCGCTAAATATATGGCGATCATCTCCAAAACGAGTAGGCTTCTATTCTGACCCTCATTTTATCCCCATGCAAAATTTCGTAAGGATCGGGCCATAAATGCGATCTGTATATGATATCTTGATATCCTAACTACTTAGTTTTGTTAGCTGTAGAAATATTACCAAATGTTTAATTCAAAGTGAAAATATGCCAAAAATATGACAAAATTAAAAAAAATATGAGAAAATTTTACAAAATCAATATTTTCATCTTTAGAGAGATATTTTTATGCGATTTTTTTAGACGTTTTTTCTCTCCTGCCAAGAGGCCATTCTGAATTAATGAGAACTGTCGAAATCAGTTCAGCCGTTCTCGACATGTAAGAGATCTTTCAAGCATATTTTCTTTGATAGACATATATATCGCACATATTTTGCTATATATCCATTTTGTTGGATGTTAACATCAATGTAAAAATCAGAAGTAACCCTGTCATGGCTTTGTGATTTCGCCGGGATTAAAAATATTCGCGGTTTAATGAAAAATTTCGAATTTTTTCAATACAAAAGATATGGTCTATTTTACCCGCTAAATATAATCCGATGACCACCCAAATTGGTAGGCTTCTTTCCCGCCCTAAACTCTAGCTACATGCGAAATTCCGCGTCGATTGGTCTATAATTGCGACCTGTATAGCTACTGCAAAATCCGACATTTTTTCAGTATTTGGTCCATTTCAACCCCTAAACATTTGACGATCATCTCCAAAAGAAATAGGGTTCTATTCTGACATTAACCCCACCTACATTTTAAATTTCGTGAAGATCGGGCCATAATTGCGACCTGTAGAGTGATTACAAATTAACATGGACAGACGGACAGACGGACGGACGGACATACATAGCTAGATCGACTCAGCTCGGCGAGCTAGGAAGATCCATATATACTTTCCTATGTGGGAAACCAATATTTCGAGGTGTTACATAATTTTTGGCCCAATCAAACTTATAATACCCCCAACACATAGTGTTGTAGGGTATAAATATTAAACCTACAAAATTTATAAATTTACATGTTAAACAAATTAATAGATATTTTCACCAAGTTTAAATATCCTTGATTTTAAATCTTAGCCTTACAATCAACAATCCTTCCAAGAATTCATAATTATTCGATCTTTCAGCAGCTGAATATTTTTATTTTTCCTGTCTGTCGGAAGAACATCTTCAACTGAAAAATTTTAATGTCAGTAATGCCTGATTGTCCACTGGAAGCCGTTCATTTGACTTGGCTGCAACAGAATAGCCTCACTATTTATTCAAGGAAATATTCATTATATTTCATTCGTCGTCGTCGTCATCGTCGTCGCTGTTGATAATTTCTTTTATTTTTTTGCGAGCTCGCGTTGTTCATTATTATTTTTGTTTTATTTGTATTCATCCGGTATTAATGCGAATTTCATTAGCCATATTTGTACACTCGAGGAAAAATCCAACTCATTCTACTGGAGAGGTTATATGAGAAGGATTGGAAGGTTTTAGGTTTTTTAAAAAATTTGCAAAGAAATATGTGATTTATAGAAAGCGTATGAATACGATTCGAAATAATTCAGAATTTTTGTACCACGTATTTGGGTAAAGTAATGTTTTTTTACCAGATATGCCGCCATTAGGCATATGTGAGTTAAAATCTTCAATTGCATAATTATACCCTACAACACTATGTGTTGGTGGTATTATAAGTTTCATTGCGCCAAAAATTATGTAACACCTCGAAATATTGGTTTCCCACATAGGAAAGTATATATGGATCTTCCTATCTCGCCGAGCTGAGTCGATCTAGCTATGTATGTCCGTCCGTCTGTCCATGTTAATTTGTAATCACTCTACAGGTCGCAATTATGGTCCGATCTTCACGAAATTTAGAATGGAGGTAGGGTTAATGTCAGAATAGAACCCTATTTCTTTTGGAGATGATCTCATAATATTTAGGGGTTGAAATGGACCAAATACTAAAAAATTTCCTGATTTTGCAGTTGCTCTACGGGTCGCAGTTATAGACAAATCGACGCGTAAGTTAGCATGTGGCTAGAGCTTAAGGCTGGGCAGAAGTCTTCCAATTTTTTGGTAATCGGGTAATATTTAGTGGGTGAAAAGGGCATGACACTTGTGTTAAATAAAATCAAATTTTCCATTAAACCGCGAATATTTTTGATCCCGGCTAAATCACAAAAAGACGAACAGGTCAATCCTGACCGTTACGTAGATGCCGATAGTAAATATATCGGATATATATAGCGAAGTATATATATATTCCAATAAAGGGGATGTTAGTTAGAATGCTTATATCTCAAGAATGGCTGGACCGATTTTGACAAATTTTGTCAATTCAGAATGCCCTCTTGGCATAAGAGAAAGAAATCTAAAAAAAATTGCATAAAAATGTGCCAATAATGGTGTTATTATAGTTTTTGTAGCATTTTGTGACATTTTTTTAATTTTTCATATTTTTTATCGCATGCGATTTTTTCAATTTGACTTCTAATATTGAAATGTATATTTTCTAAAATTTTTTCACCTTACAACACGGGTTGGGGTTATTATATAAAGATTGCAATTATCTTTACAAGGATAGGGTTAGGCTCAGAAGAGCTATTGTTTTCAAAGTTGAGCGCAATATATTTAGGTGTTGAAATGGACCAACCACTATACTGTTCCTAATTTTGCAGCCGTTATAAGGTCGCAAATAGAAACTAAAGGACAGCGGGTAGAATGGACTTCTACTTTTGTGTGAAAAAAAATACCAACATTACTTACAGGCGATATCCGAAATACACAAAAGGCGAACTTCTGGCTTTTTTATGCTGATTTCGTTGATGAATATAACCAAATATCGTAGACAAGCAAATCATGTAGATGGGCCCAAATTTGTAGATGCAGAACGGCTTCTTACTTTTGGAGATGATCGCAAAATATTAAGGGGCGCAAAAGAACCAAATTCTAGCTTTTTGGATGACCATTGGATTATATTTAGCTGTAAAATGGACCACAACAACTAACAGCACGACGGAATACGCAAATGTCCCTGGTCAAAATGGTAAGGGTAATATCTGGGCAGTGCTCCATGACAAAATTTTTCTTCCAAAATGGACTTGGACATAAGGGTGCTTCTAACATATTGTAGTGTTGTAGGGTATCACATGGTCGGCCCCGCACGGCTATAGCCTTTGCTTACTTTTTTTTTAAATGCTGTGAATTTTTAATTTATATTATTTGTCAAAATTTCTATACAAATAATATTTTTTAAGAATATTTTTTAGATTTAATTTTCTTTAACTCCTGAACCAAATCTGTGATTTCCTAAGATTTTTGCACCATACACCACAATGTGGTAATTATACCATACACCTCATAGTGGTAAGGGTATTATGTCTTTGGGCATTTATTTGTAAGATGGAGAAGGAAGCGAAATAGACCCATAGTTACAGGGTGAGATAAAAACCTGCAACCAACTTCCGACTGCTCTCATTTCTAGGCCACTTGTCGGACAGCTGTTAAAATTATTCCAGTGTGTGACGGTTTCCTTGGCCGTTTGAAGGCCAAAATTCGTGCCCAGGCTGACCAACACGAACAAATCTAAACTTATTCTAAAATTTGATGCTATTTCCGATATGTTTTGCTTTCATTCAATA